AGGTATGTTAAGTTAAGTTATTTTGCAGAAGTAGCTGATGATCACCGGACGCTTCAACGCGGAGATTTGAAAGTTAGGAATTGCCTGTAGCCCCAGGGATAAAAGGTAAATAATAATAAATAACGCACACAATCATTGTCTCGCACTAAAGAAACCCTGAATTGCAAGTGCCATGGACACACACATACATAACCACAGATTGCACCAAACTCACGAAGTAAATAAATGTAGGCTATACAAATATTTCCTTCGAATTGCATTATTAATATTATTTAATATTAAAATTTTTACAAAAAGAAAACTTGTAAATTAAAACATAGCGGTACAACAAAAATACAAAATTGTAAACACAACAAACAAACACAACATTGTAACAGTTAGCAGTAAGCTGTAGCACCGAGGTTAGTGTTAAACCTTTTGCGGTGGTGCTCTATCCAGCTCTATCCAAGCTATCGTGAAAATGAGATGAGGAAATAACCAGTTTCCATGGACTGACGATCCTACCATCAGTCGCTGCGACAGACGCCACACATGTACACCATAAGTTAGTTGAATGTATTAATTGTTTTACCTTGTCTTTGTTGATTTGTACGTTGTTCTAGTAAATGATTCGCTTGGAAATCACCCGTTCATTAGTTTGCTGACAAGCGAATCTCTTAATCATTATTTCGGGTTCGGGTGTCCGCACTTAAAACAACTTTCTGCCAATAGTTACTACTTATTATAGTAATACATATAATAATCGGTTAAGATTGGCAGTAAACGTACCCAAAAAAAATCTTCTCTGCCATGAACCACTAACAATGTCTCATATCCTATTTTCGGCATGTTTAGAGGTCATAACGACTTTTGTAAAGATATGGACATATTCTCCAATAGTCGCCATACTTATTTAAATTTTCCTTGCAGGAACAAGCTGTATATGTTGGATATTTAAAAATCTTATATGTATGAGTATGTGTAACATTATTTGTACTATTTTTTTTACTATTTCTATATTCAATAGACTCTTTATTTGTAAGTACATTTAATGACTGCCTCCGTGGTTGAACGGTTACCATGCTGGACTGCCACACAGTGGTCCCGGGTGCGATTCCCGGGTCGGGGGAAATATTTTTACGGCCTATATTTTTTCCTCTCGTGAGTTTGGGTGCAATTTGTGGTTATCTATGTGTGTGTCCATGGCACCTGCAATTCAGGGTTTCCCTAGTGCGGGGCTATGAGTGTGTGCGTTATTATATTATTATAATGAATGTTTATCATTATTTACTTCGCACATGCCAAGCGTGGCTGTCATAAGAATGCAAATTAACTCCCATTGCAATCACTTTAAAGAATGTCACAGTTTGTATTCTCTAGCCATCCCATAAATAAATGAATAGTAAGGTTGATTTAGATTAAGTAAAAGGCCTTTACCGTAAGAATGAAAAAAGGAAACTTTTACTTTAAATATTACATAATAATCTTTATGTAGTGTCAATGGCTTTTTACACCACGTATGACGATGGGTTTTCAGTACGTGTACAAGATACCTCGCGAAGATCTGATCACGATCGGCAATTAAAATAATTGTATCTAGCAACACATGATGGATGTAAGAATACGTCTGAGGTCGTTTATAACATGTACCTACACAATTTTTACTGTTTACTTACATTTTGTACATGTTTTTTTTGCTAACAACTAATTACGTATAACAGCATGTCTTCCTGTGCATTCCAGGTTTAAGCTCAACTCTATGTCTCGTATGATAAAACGTATAAAGCCCAGGGTGATGTCGTCGTTTACTCAATAGGAAACTACAATAATAATAACAGTTGAATGTACTAATCAATTGAGTCTAATGCATATCTTGCACAATCGGGTGTATCACAGGGTTCCAATTTCGGACTACTTTTGATATCCTATATTTGATATCACCTCGTGTATACAGCAGTACACTGCAGGTACGCTCTCTTTGCCGATGATTTAAAAATGTATAAAAGGGTTTAGTATTGATCCAGGAAGACTTGGACAGGATTGAAATGTGGTCTAGGTCTACCGGAATGGAACTTAATTCTGGAAAGTGTTTATTCGTTCGCTATTCTACGAAGGTAAATGCTACTATGTCATTGATCAACTTCAGGAAGAATTACGTGAAGTAAATGATTTGGGTATCACCATTGATAGAAAACTGAAATTTACACCACATGTCAGCTATGTTACTAAGAAGGCGGTTCAAATTATGGGTTTTGTCAAAAGAAATGCACGATCGTTTGGTAGCAATACCAACTTGAACTTGAATATGCTTCTGTGGTATGGAAACCACGGTTTGGGCACACGGTGCACTCTCAGCACTTAGAGTCTGTACAACGAGCTTTCACAAGACACCTCGCCTTTCTTTCGCGGGATATTTCTCATAGGTGTCCGTATGACCAGCGTTTGGGGTTTTTTAAACTGAGTTCATTGCGAGATCGCCGTAGGTTACATGATGCACTATTTTTGCACAAATGTGTAAACGGATCCTTGAAGTGCGAGGAGTTGCTTCCTCGTATTTCACTTTCGGTTTCGTATAATTTATCCCGGATACCCATCACTCGGTTGTTCCATCCACTGCTTTGTAGAACCAATGTTGTCAAACATGCCTCTGTGTCTCGTGTTTGCTGCACTTATAACGAAGACGATGGTGCTATACCTAATCTGTCAGTAAGTCTGTCATAGTCAGAACATTTGTTTTGTCTAGTGGCCGGACTAATCTTGGAAAGTATGCCCCCTTGAACAGACTCATGCAGTCATACAATGACTTACTTACGACTGGAGACGGCGACATAGATATCTTTAATATAAAAAATACTAAGCAGTTTCTTCGTATGTGCAAGCAATTTGTTTGAACTTATGAAACTTGTAAATATCTATTATAGGTAACTAATTATTACTGTAATTTTATATTTCTAATCATATATTTTCTTTAGTATCTCATTGGTTAACATTAGATTTTTAGTGATGTATACACCTGTAGTGACTTGGCACCTTGTATAGTGGACCTGTGTGTATTTTTTTTAATATTGTTTTGTGTTAAGTTGATGGTGTATCTTTAAATAAATAAATAAATAAATAAATCTGGACATATTTTTTGATTCCCTCGGAAAGTACATATTTGCCATTTTAAAATACATGTCTGCGAGCGTTCCCGATTAATTGTGTGACTATTATTCTTTCAATTCTTTATTTTGGTTATGATGATTTATCTTAAATTTAGTATATATTTTTTTCTACTTTTATATCCATATACTCATAGGTTTAATTGGCCTCTAGATATTAGTCATTGAATGTGGTGGTCATCTATAATTGGCTTGTGTATCGGAGTTTGTTATATTTAGTTTTAAGTTGTTTGAATGTATTAATACACATGCTGTTCATGTGCCTTATGAAAATAAATAAATAAATCAACTTGTTAGAATTTATCATGTATCATGTGCTAGTAACGATATAAGTAGATGTGTTTAAAAATTGGTGGTTTTATGATATTTATTTACATTTGAAATGTTAGTAAAAGTGTTTCTTCGAAATATTTTCTATCTGTATCAACCTAATAACAATGATAAAACAAGGAAAATGATTCAAAGTTATAAATGAAATAATAATATAATATGGAGACAAACAAAAACAAAAAACAACAGTTTGACCCGAATGTACGAATATACGTGACGCTGATGATTTACGCCTTAAAAAATACGCTAGTTTATTGAATTTTCTTTTTTTATTTACTGTAAAAACAGATTACAAATTAGCCTAAGGATTAAAACGATGTAACATAAACCATATTGGGTTTTATTCCACATCATCACGTCATATTCTTTTACAAATCATAACTAAAGTACTAGTTACTATGTTATTAACTTTGTATTAGTCATTTTTGTACTATATTTTTTATTATAATTGCGACGAAAAAAATTTAAACGTCCGATAGAATAGTGAAGTCGTCCGCGCTACTGAATTCAATAAAAGAACGCATTCTTGGGCATTGGTTAGTGTTCCATATAAGTTTATAACGTGAAAAATAACTCACGTCAAATAACTTAATCTAAAAAGTCCTGTCTGTATGTGTTTTATTTTGTCACCATGTTAATATATTGTCATCAGAGTATATACGTATATCCTTCCAAAAGAAAAAAAAAAATTACACAGTACACATAAAATTAAATTTTGAATTGTACGAGATAATTATTTTTCTGTTAAAGTTGTAATTTACATTCATTCGACAGGGTGCAAAATTTCAGTTAAATCAAAGGAAAGTGACTGAGGAAGTGATGAAGACAAACTTGCAATATTTGATCTAAACCTACAAACTTCTAAAGTTGAAAAGAAGTTTGTAAATAAAAAAATAAGTATATGGATTCACGCCTTCTAAAACCTCAAGATACGGAATATGAGAGCTCTGAATTGTAGAGGTATATAGATAGATGTAGTGGTGTGCCGTACGCATGAAAGTCACAAATACAACCACAAATTCTTCTGTAAACTTCGACAATATGCAACTCCGAGCTCTAGCTAATATCGTTATCATTTGCGTTCCAAATAATAATATATATACATATGGGTACTTTAATATCAATATTAATACCAACATTCAGTATTTAACACTAATTCATTAGTTCAGACCTTAGCTCTAATATACACAGAAAGAGTAAATTCAAAGAATATTTTCCGATGTTGAATGTTATCTTTAAACGCAAAATGCTTGTAACCTAACGCACTTTGATAACCTTATTTCCCGTTATAAAGTGCCATTCTTTGTTTAAAGTTATTATTATAAGTAACATACATGTTTCTAGATTAATGCATTCGAAATAACAAACATTTATTGTAAAAACCTACAAAGTAAACTTGCTGTGATTATACACGCATTTTAGTTTTGTAATAAATCGCTAGATGGCGTTGAACCAAAAAGCGTAATTTCTACATCGCGGTGTTAAGATTTTCCCTAGACTGATACTGGGTCGCCCCATAGTTGACGCAGTTAGCTCTGGTTTCCCTTCAAAACGAATAAATCTTTCGCCTTTTACTAAAGATTTCCGTGGAGGGGAACACTCAAATGAGTCTTTTATAATTTTTTACTGCTCTGCTCACGCGGAGCTAAGGAACACTTTAATTGTCCAACCCACGAAGGTAAATCATAATATTTTCACTGGGGCATTAGGAATGGGTAATGCTTTTTCTAAATATCATATCGAAACTGTATATCAATATTCGAAATCGGATTTCGAAACTATATATGCATGGATACTGCCCGCGTCGCGCTGCGTTCATACATTGCCGTTACTGATATTCGGAATCAGTTTTCGAAACTACATATTATTGGATATATAGTTTTACAAGAGCAATGCCGAAAACCTTAGTATATAGTTTCGAAGACGCACAAAAATGGTTTCGCGTTGATATCCACTCAGTGAATATCTGATACGAAGCAATATCGGTATATAGTTCGGAAAATGTATGATTTCGTATTGGTATCCACTCGATAATCGCTCGGTTTGATTCGGCATCGCTATAAAATACGCGATTCGGAGCAATATCGATATATACTATAGTTTCTAAGATACATGATATCGGATATTCGATATTGCCACAATATATAGTTCCAATAACTATATACGATTTGTAACGCCCATTCCTACATGCATGTTGTTGAAGTCCGGAATATGTTGAATTCGAAATTCCCGACATTGTCGTAGGAGTTAAAAATATCTTCTTTTCTGGGTGTTACGAGTAAACTTTGACACTTGACTTAAAGGGGTCTACAGACCGAACCCGCCGACCCGGGGATAGTGTTGGCCGCCTTGTTTCTACAATGTTTGTATTTGTGTGGCGATAAGTAGTCTGGCACTGTGGTTCATAGTGTTTAAAAAATGTATACATACACCTTACAGTTTCGATTAAGACTGATCAAGTTAAATTTGACTATTTAAAGCTATATGAATACGTTAGGATTATCTAAATTCTTAATAATAACGTCATATTTAATTATGGTCTTTCAACATTGTGATTTGTATTGTTGCACTGTGTTGTTTTTTATTTACAACAGCTAGGCATTCGCGGAATCAAAAACTGTCATTATTACCATTGACTTACAAATAAATGGACGACGGGTCTAATACAAAAACCACGAAAAAAATGTCCCAAGTCAACCTATTCGAAATTTAAATTGTTATGTCATCGCAGTATCGCGCTGTCCGTAGAACAAATGAAGACTAAAGCGGAGTGTCGCGCTCTGTATGCGATTTTAGCGCCTTACAAGTGCGGACACTTTTTAGCGCGGACCCGACGTCCATATAATTGTAAGTCAATGATTATTACACAGAAATAAAGTAGTTATTTCTTAATTACATAAAGGTAGGAATTGAAACTATTTAACCGGATTGAAATCGCGTATATTTGCTTTTTCCAACATACCGACGTGTCGGGCCCTTTACAGGTCCCATGGTCACGGTTGGCTGAGGTGGTACAGTCTTCAACCAGTTATGTCTAATATTAATGCAAACCACCCTATTTTTTCACTATAGTTACAATAGTTATTAATTAAATACCTTATTTTTAATTTTACAAAGAAAACATCACAATTTACGCTACGTTAAGTTTTACAAATTATTAGGGCCCTGTAAAGAGCCCGAAACGTCGGTTTGTTTGAAAAAACAAATATACGCGATTTAAACCCGGAAGAATAGTTTCATTTCCTATGTGTAACAATCGCGAAAACCTAAGAACTCAGTACATAAAGGTAAATAAAATTATTTGCCACCTTAGAATAATAACGCATAGAAACCTAGCCCGCACACGCTAAGTGAGGCAAGTTAGAGGGTTCCAAACGCGTCCCAGGAGCGCGCGGGCTGTTAGTGCTCAAGGTCATATTGCACCGCGAACAGCTCCAAAATTTTTTGCTAAAAATGACGAAATGTGCGGTAAATGGGTGTAAAAATACAACAGACAAACAAAATAGACACTAACATCGCATTCCACAAGTAAGTAATGCGTTTCAACTCATATTTTTATGTAAATATTCACTAAAACAGAAAAATAATTTCGCGGCAACAAGATACGAAAGTGTTGCAAAGTAACGAATTTTTTTTCTCCCCATTTTGCTATTCTGTATCAAAATAATTATATTACGTAAATTTTAGTGGTGCCTGTAATTTCGATTTATTTGCGCATCTTGAACTAATATTTACTTGAATAAACATTAAATGTTTTCGTTAACTCCTGTAAGTGATTGGGACACTTAATTATTTTATAATACTTTTAACGGCTCTGCGTTCATGCTTTATTGAATAATTATTTATTTTAATTTTATTTGAATTGGAGCACATATTGCAACAAATTTACAGTATATATTTGTTTCTACTATAGTGTTGGCACCACCAGTACAACTTTGATAGCTTATTATATGTCTTTCTTTTCGTAACTCAAGCGAAATATTTTATATTAAAATATTTTATTTTCTTAAAAGGGGAGCATTCTTAAGCGATTTTTTAATCTATTTTAACAGTTATTTTCTTTAATGTTTGCTTATGGCATTTTCGGTTTTAGGTTTCGAATATGGCACTTATTTCTAAATCCAAGATGGCGGGCGCGATTTTTCGAATAATGGCAAGTTGGGTATCGTTTTCGAGATGTTTGGGAATGTTCAATACAAATATGTGACTCATTTCTAAATCCAAGATGGCAAACACGACAGTTCAAACAAAAGCAATATTCGTAATGAGCACCCCCAAATACCTCGAAAACGATACCCAACTTGCCATTATTTGAAAAATCGTGCCCGCCATCTTGGATTTACAAATAGTGCCATATTCACATTGATCATCCCCAAATACCTCGAAAATGATACCCACATAGCATTTTTTTGAAAAAATCGTGTCCGCCATCTTGGATTTAGAAATGAGTGCCATATTCGTCATGAGCACCCCCAAGTACCTCGAAAATGATACCCATATTGCATTTATTTGAAAACTCGTGTCCGCCATCTTGGATTTAGAAATGAGTGCCATATTCGTAATGAGCATCCCCAAATACCTCGAAAAGGATACCCATATAGCATATTTTGAAAAATCGTGTCCGCCATCTTGGATTTACAAATAAGTGCTATATTCGTTTTTCATCGACAAAACCGAGCATATCTGTAGGCACCTGATCGACATTGTCGGGCAAATCTGTAGGCACCTTTAACTTAATGATGAGTTAAGCAAGATACAATTTCCCCACTTTTGAGGGAAATGTTATTCCATGGCATCATTATTTGTATATTTGTGTGCGTGCCGACGAGCGTAGTTACAAGTTGCTTACGCCTACATGAATTTGGTTTTTGCCTCACTTGTGACAGTTCGTTTGATATGAAACTATCCTTCTATGCGTTATTATTCTAAGTTTGCCACCTTATTTTTTTTAAGCAATCTATTATCTTTGTTTCTACTTTCTCAAGTCTATAACATTAAGTCTATAACGTTAAGTAAAATATTTACTGCAATAAGAAAATATGATGTTTGCTTTTTAAAAAAATAGCAATGGAAATGGCATCTCGACCCTCAATTACCAGGTAACTCCTATCGAATTTTGAAGGCATAAAAGTGTAGATTGAATACACTCCGATGAAATATTGCCAATAAATATTGTGAAGGCGTTTTAATTAACGTGTTACAAGTTCTACAAAGTTAAAAAGTAGCAGTCGTACAAAGTAGGAGCTACAGTTTGTAATAATAATAAATATAAGAGCACATTCGAAATCTTGGTTCAATAATAAGCCACTTATTATGAACAGTCCAAAGTGTAGAACTGAGTATATTGACCGTACTAATAGTGCCCATTTTTTTAAAGCCGTTCGGAATGTAAATTTATGTTAAATTCAAGATGGTACATCAAAGACAAAAACGCCACGAAGTGATCAGACTGAAAAATTGAGATGTAAATCAACAATTTTCGACAGGTCCTCGACTTCGGCTTTTTGTACCTTGGATTTGAAATTAAATACTTATGTATATTTTTTAAATTTGCGTCATAGATTGACGACCTTGACAGCTTAACGATTTGCCATGTGGAATGAATGAGGTATTTTCTAAAGTGGTTTTGGTCTGGGCGTTCTGGGTATAGTGCCTCCAAGTGAATTTCGTTGCTTTGGTAATCATATTACAGAAAATTCCGAAGTTTAAGATCATGTAATTGGTGAGGTTGACTAGGACATAGTTATTATTATATTTTGTAATACATTGGTTTATTTTAATTTTCAAACTCTGGAAATCCTATAATGTGAAATCATTATGCAACGTTCACGTTTTTTATATTATCAGATAACGGAACAAGCAAGTCGTGAGCTTGCCTGTCAATAATGGTTGTACTGCCACTCAGGATCGTATTCCAGAACTCTACTCAATGCTCAAGTCAGGACTTGAGCAGACTTGAGTATGATTTCAAGCACTGGAAATACGACCCTAATGGCAAGGACTTGAGTATGATTTTCAGTGCTCACTGCAATACTCAAGTCCTGTCTTGAGTATTGAGTAGAGTTCTGGAATACGACCCCCAGAGCTTCAAATCGCAAAGGTCTGAGGGGCACTGCTACTGCGCCTGTCACCTTGAGAGAAGCAGAGAATGCTCACATTACTGGCGGCAGAAATAGCTAAGACTTGTCAACTGTTTCTTTCTGTTGGTCTTTATACTTGCTCTCACAATTGATTTTACTAAATATTGCTTTAGTTATAAATGAGCTTTGCTATTCTTGTGTGAGTTTCAATAAAATGTTATTACTATCATATTTTCCGATTATTTATCCATTTACATTGCAAACTTAGAACTAAATAGCCAACATGTTTACATGTTGTAACAGATTATTATTATATTAATTTTAGTAGCAGTAGAGCTCCTTGTGAAAGAGTTCGTCCAGGATAGTACTGCCACCTTACCTATTTCTGCCGCCAAGCAGTAATGCCAGTATTACTGTGTTCCGGTTTTGAAGGGTTCTGGTGAAATTACAGGTAAATGGGACTTGTCAACTTATGTCCCAGGGTGACGGGCGCAGTGGCAGTGCCCCTTAAATCTTTGCGATTTAAAGCTCTGAGTGGCACTGCAACTATTATGGACAGGCGTGTAGCTTACCATCAGGCGCACGACTTGTTCGTCCCGTCACTTGATATTATAAAAAAAAAAAACATATTCAACGCGATCAGTGAATATGTCATTATTATGATCACTCACTGAGCTCTCTCTCTCTCTCAATGAGTATATCGCCAATCAGGTGTATTTTTTGTAAGAAACAACAAATTGCTAATAAAACCGGGACATTTTCTTTTCTAACAACAATTCAATTCTGTCTTGTATGTACTAATAATTTTTGTAGTTTGAAGACGACTATAAAAGACATGATGCACGTCAATGTTAAGGTATTTAAATTTTTTCAGTATCACGGAAAATCGGTACACTTATATAAAAATACAAGGGTAAAAAACAATGAAAGACTAAATAACATTTTTATTTTCATTTATGTTACACTTTATTGGCTAGTTTTAAACAATAATGATTAACTGATTGTTACTCGGAAATTTCATCTTTATTGTTGGGTGGATTAGGTATTTGTGTGAATATTGATGTTAACAGCTGTATGGTGCATACTCCAGTTTCTAAACGCAAACTAAATTTCCAGTTAAAATTTCGATGAATATGGGCGAATGAGTTAAAATTATAATTACAATAGTTCAGCAACAATGTTACAAAATTTTATCACAAATTTCTGGTCCATATTGAATAACTTCATTTGACGCCATGTTATATTCTGAAAATAACAACAGTTATGTAATTAGAAAAAATAGAGCTGCTGTTGATTAGAATTACTATTAAAGTAATTTAAAAATTATATGTGTCGACATTGACATGAAATACGATATGAAAAAATAAAATTCAAATTAATAACAGACAAATATGTCATATGCTACACAGGTCTATGAAACGCATTGTCATTGCTGATATTCATTTTACCTTCAAATAAATAAATCATACAACCGAAAAAAAGAAGGGTTAAGAATAGCAAATTACTACCAAACATATACACGCGCCTCAGCGCCTAAAACCGATAATATTAAAATTCATGATCATGATTCGTTCCGTTTACTTGGGAGTGCATCAACCACGGTATGGCGAGCGGGATCGAAGAAATTTTTGTTTGTGTTCGGTTTTTGTATTAATAATTATTACAAACTAGTTAGTGGAGTGATTTCACAAAAATAATTGGATAATTATCTCAATCATGTCAATCAAGTGGACAAACATCGTGATATTTTATAATTTTAATATTACAATTGACTATAATATATATAGAATAACTGCCTCAGTGGCTGAACGGTTATCATGCCGGGCTGCCACGCAAAGGTCCCAGGTTTGATTCCCGGGCCGGGATAAATTTTTGTATGGCCTACATTTATTTCTTTCGTTAGTTGGGTGTAATTTGTGGTTGTCTATGTGTGCCTCTCGTCTCTCACAAGGCCAAAGATTATTATTATTACAATTATAATTCTAAAATATTCGAGAACAGTACCTACAACACTCTAGGGTCGGCAGACCAAAGCACATAAGTAAAAATTTTTAATATAGCAACAAAGTTTGTTGTTCCGTGTTGTTTATAATGACGGAAGATGATAAGATTGAGAAAGACGTCACTAGAATTTAAGTTGAACCAAATTATTTTGATATATGTGCCGACTTTAGAATTGTAAGTAATCTGCATATCGTTATCGTTATATCGTCATTGTGAGTACTTGCTTTTGAATACCCGTAACGGTGTAGATACTAAGTATTGTATAATGTGTATATATCAATATATTACATGCTTATTAGCTGTATATGACTAGACATGACCTTCCTAAATTGTTACTTATTTGGTTTCAATATAAATGTGACTATACGAGTGAATGTATGGGCACCTGTATTGACAATTACAAAATTCACATGAAATTAAAATTACGGTGTACATTGTGTGACCTTTATAACGTCAATGGACTTCTTTATATACCCACTCATTTGTTTCTTTTCCTGACAAAAATCATAAGTATCAAAAGTAACAATAACAATATCAACGCACACACTCAACATAGCATAGGGAAACCCTGTGTCGCGGGTGCCATGGACACACACATAGACAACCACAAATTACACCCAAACTCACGAGAGAAATAAATGTAGGTCATACAAATAATTCTCCCGGCCCGGGAATCGAACCTGGGACCTCTGCGTGGCAGTCCGGCATGGTAACCGTTCGGCCTTGGAGGCAGTTTAAAAGTATACCTACGTCACACGCAAATTGTATCAATTGCGTCATTCACTGATCCCTTTTTCATGTTCCTTGATATTTCAAAGGAGTGAAGTATAATTTAACTATATTACAGGAAAACTATGGCAAAATTATGAATGTTGTAAGATTTTCTTATTATTATATTTCTGCGCTGACTTTTGTAGTAGAAAACGTTAAAAAATTATACCTGAAATTCCTTTAGCCGTAGTAACCACCACCGCCTCCGCCGCCGCCGCCGCCACCTCCACCGCCACCGCCGCCTTCGAATGAAAAAAATTAAATTTAAAACATGACGTTTACATTCGACGTAAGTGTTCAGTGATGATCAAAAAAGTTTACCTCACTTTTCTAATTTTTTTACACACTATGCTTACACATATTTCTGAATTTAAATAAAGAAATAAATAAATATAAATAAATATTAGACAACATCACATGTGTTGCTCTGGTCCCAAAGTAAGTAGCTAAAGCACTTGTGCTATGGAAATCGGAAACAACGATGGCACCACAAACACCCAGACCCGAGACAATATAGAAAAGTTAGTTTTCTACACTGACCCGGCCGGGGATCGAACCCGGGACCTCACAGATGGACACCATGAAAACCGGTGTGTAAGCCACTCGACCACTGAGGTCGTCAACTTATTCGAGCTTATTCGTCGAATTTATTCCCTTGTTTTCCCTTTTCCCAATATATTGCTTTACTTTCAATTATTTAGTACCTCCGTAACCGCCGCCGAAACCAAATCCACCGCCGTATCCACCACCTCCTCCACCTCCGCCGCCGCCACCGCCACCATAACCGCCTTTGTAACCACCATGGTGGCCTCCGCGGTGACCTGCAATAAAAATATGGACAGCAAACACTATTAACGAGACGTTTTTAAAAAAAAACTAGTTCGACCTGTTTCATTAGATAATATAACGACTTTTACGGCGTAGTAAAGCAGACATTAGAATGTCAAAACCATTGTAGTGTTGTCTGTTGTTTGATATTTCAGTATTTGTGGAAATCTGTATGACAGTAATTATACTATGATAATAATTTTTAAGATTTTTTTACAAAGTCTAGAGTACTAGTAAATTATCATACACTGCTAACACCGGAGTCTAAATATCAATGTTAATATTACTTTTACGTTTTGTTTTTATTCTTACCGCCTCTCTGAACAGTTACAATATAAGTTTTACCGCCGTATCCACCGCGGTGACCACCGCCGTAACCCTTGTGGGGATGACGGCGTTGACGATTAAGCTCCTCTGCTACGTTTTGATCTTCAAGATTCTATAGAAAAATAAACTTTATTGCTATATAATACAGACAAACTATTGCTTGAAGCTTATTATATACTCACAACTTTTATCAATGGCTATTTTTGAATACTTTTGATAACCCGAATAGTATAACAACAGTGTTCAAAAGCCAACTTCGAAACATCAACTGCACAACAAGCGACTGTTTATCCAACTTTTTAATACATAACTATTTACATCTATACATTTGAAACCACCTGTGCAGAAATTGGTTGAGGCTTCTGATCCAAAGATTTGACTTCTTGTTCTAAACTAACAGGAGCACTTTGTCGAGACAGACGGACTAAGAGCGGTGCTTGTCTTGCAGCGACTGTGTTTATATTCCTCGAGTCTTCAAGAGTGTTGCTCCCCACACAGGTAAACGTTACGGCCGCGAAGGCCAGAACGGTTACTGCCGCGTATCCCATCGTGACGACTGGCTCAGAACCCAAAACGTCAGCATATTTATAAATGCCTTGGTCGATGATGTAATCAACGTAAAAACGAATCAAAATACAGTAATTGAAACTTTTTTACCTCAGCAATCAACCAATTACAAACTTGATCATACATGATATTCTCAGGGGTATTCCCTTTAGCCCAATACTCTCGAGTATTTGCCTAAGAACATCTCTAGAGGCTAGCATACATTTTTTACTGGGTTTTGCAACTATGAACTTGACAAATTCAATAGTCGTGCTTTTTTTATAAGGAGTTTTGGGGACGGTAGACCGGATCGTATATTAATGGTTGTACCACAAAAAGTTCTCGAGTTTATTAACATCGGAATTAGCAATGAATCTAATAATGACAATGTTTTTATGTTGTTTTTATGTGAAGACTCCCACAAGGTAATAGAATAATTGGGAAATTATTATTCCATTTGTTTTTCTCGTCGACAAGACACGTAAGGCGTGTAAATACATAGTTTTTCTCGAAGCAATACAGATACTTGTAGTCCTGATTGTCTCTATGTCTTTGTTCGTTACTGGTGTTAATAAAATAAGTTTGATGATTTAGATTATAGAGGATGCTTAACGTATTTAACTAAACACAAAAAGTTTTTATCGTTAATACATAATATGAAATCAGGAAACTCAACGTTCATCAATAATCTAAGCTTCCTACACCAACGTGACCTTCAAACTTTAAATTTAACATCTTTTTACGACACCAGAGTCCCAGGAATGTACTTAATTTTTAGTATCCTGTACATTAGTGGACAAAAAGCCGGCGTGCGACTGTATCCCACCTGATTTTCTCCTGTAACAACAATTTATGTCACATTGTTTTTAATAATAATAATAAATAAATCTTTTATTTGGCATCCAAGGTCCACTTGTTAGTAAATACAGACATTTTATGACTATTGTTTTTAACTGCCTCCGTGGCCGAACGGTTACCATGCTGGATTGCCACGCAGAGGTCCCAGGTTCGATTCCCGGGCCGGGAGAAATATTTGTATGGCCTGCAATTATTTCTCTCGTGAGTTTGGGTGTAATTTGTGGTTGTTTATGTGTGTGTCCATGGCACCCGCGACACAGGGTTTCCCTAGTGCGGGGATATGTTGAGTGTGTGCGTTATTATTATTATTATTATTGTTTACAGACTTATGACTATTGTTAGTCAACACAGAGACAAAACATTAAAAGACACATTATTTCGCTTGAGGTGCCGCCGATTAGAAAAGATGTAATTACAATTCCAATTTCATAAACTTTTTTCATACAATTAAAAAGTAATCGCACCTCCCGCCAAAGGTGTAGAGCACACCCTCACATCCTTGATGCTTGACATTACAGGACCACTAGGGCATCACGTTCGTTACATCCTCGAAGATGTGGAATGACCTTCCTCCTGATGTATTTATTCCCTCTGCGCTGTGACGTTTGGTTCTTCAAAAAGTGAGTCAACTCTCAAAGCCTGGTAACGCACAGGCAGTTCCTCTGATGTTACAGATGTCCATGAGCGACGATGACCACGTCCCATTAAATGGCTCGTCTACTTATTTGCCTTTTACTTCTCCTGTTCGTGTGGCAGTGTCTCAAACACTACCAACTTTTAAACATAAATGTTTTCTGTATGTCTAAATTGTGTCTAAATCTCGGGACGCAGGCTTTATGAAGTAGCTTGTGTTTATATACCTGTTCTGTGTATGTTTGGTATTATGCTATTTAAATTACTTATTTATTACTGAAATCGATTTTTTTTCTTTGTCTGATTGTTGTTTGTATCTAATTGTATTTACTTAGTGCCTAATTGTCTACACTTATTTGATGCGTATGTTTTTTAAATTATTAATTACTTTGTTCAATTGTTGCTTATGTTAAATTTTATTCATTTAGTGCCTAAATGTCTACGGTTATTTTAATTTTGATTTCTATTTGTGCGTAACATGTAACATGTATATTATTTGAAGTGTGGTGTTCCATATTATGATGGGTCATGACAGAATAACAGCGAGGGCTATGTAATTAACATAGTCCTCAGAGGCTGAGTCATGGACCCTTTTGACATGTTTCTTTTTATTTTAATTGAATTTACTTTTTTTTTTCGTTTTGTTTGAAATTTATGCGTGTCAAATAAAGACTATTTTATTTTATATATTTTTTCACTTTACGTAAAAAAGTCTCTATCTGCCTATACGATTGAAAAACAAAAGTTAGGTTTGTTTCTATTCAAAGTTATTTAAAGAAAAACTGAATAGAACATTTTTTGAATTACTAACAGTGTCTACTATGGTGAATGGACAGAAGTCAAGAGAACAGCTAGTTTGAATTACAAATGTAATGAAAATAAAAATATCTCAAATTATGGAGTTCCTTATACAATGTGTCCAAAGCCAATTTAGAAAAGTTCATTTCTTAAGTTTGTCGTACTGGAAATCGAACCGGGGCCCTTTTCCAGTGTCCTAGTGCAAACCATTGCCACTGAGGTCGTAAAAAATTAAGACTAAATAACTTCTTTTAAAGTAATATGCATCACGATAACCTTGATTACATCATGTTTCAATCATAAAATTACTATGTAGGATACTGAGTGTCTATTTAGTTTTTAGGAATTATAAAAATACACACAGCACACACGGGGGCAGCGTCTTAGGGAGCGCCGAGTGCAAACAAAGTAAACGGGCGATTCCGTCCCTACTTGATTTATAATTACACCATTTGCACCCTAATTTCCGATCACTGGGGAAAATATATCTGTAAGCATATTCCATTTGTGCCTACTAAAGGGTGCCACGTTATTTGATTGCACTCAGGCGCTACATGGGCTAGCGCCGGCGCTGTTCGAGATCACCACAAACTTTTCTGTGTAGAGGTCCCTGTGCAGGCTTTCTTGCACAGGTAATAGTGTAACAGGTAGTAGTGGTAACACAGAACTGCCTCCATTATAGTTGCAGTGCCACTTAGAGCTTTAACCCGCAAAGATCTGAGGGGCATTGCCACTGCACCCGTCACCCAGAGACTAAGTTGGCAAGTCCCTTATGCCTCTGATTTGACCAGTACACTTACCCTTCTAAACTGGAACGCAGTAATGCTCACATTACGGCTTGGCGGCAGAAATAGGTAAAGCCGCAGTACTTCCCTGGACGAACTCTTTCAGAGAGCTCTACTGCTACTAATCAATTGTAAACAACCAACAATCATAAAAAGAAGTTCGTACTCTGTATCTATAATTATAGCAAAGTTTTAGTGGAGTCATTGTGAGAAGAAAATTAGAAAAAATCTAATAATTTATTAGACAGAGACTTTTAACCGTAAAACCTCTCTCCTCAATAGTTGTCATTTTGTAGATGCGGCCTTACTACATTGGGGTGCGAAATAATGTTTAAGGCGATAAATGCAGCAGCGCGTCTCATACAAACATTTGTTTGATCCTATTTTGGATATCAACCATTCATATTTAGTAGAAACCAACTAGAAATTTACGTGATTATCAGTTATTTAGTACAGTTGGTGCCGTCACTTAGGTATCCACAATTTGTGTAGTACAAATATGGAAACCTAAGTGTCCTCACTTCGGTTTCCCGCTTCAAAACTACAAGTGCTCAAAACTTGTTAATTCCCTTGCAGAAAAAGTCAAATTTTAAGTTGTAAAAATTTTTAGAAGACATTAATACGGTTTGAACAACCCTAGAAATAACAATTAATTCCGCATATTGAAAAGTGTATCTACATCTACTGTGTTATAGGAATGTACATCAAACTATGAACCGATTTTTAATTAAAGATAATAAACAGACGTGTAGTGGGTTTCTAATTTTTATAAAATTTAAATAGTGTTGTTTTAAAGAATAGACTTTACTAACTCACTCAACTAATTATTAAAATTCAAAGTTTGCAAATATTAAATTATAGATCTATGTCGAGACTGTAAATAATAATAATCTTTATTTTTCTCTTTACAAAGGGTACAAAGTTTTTTAATATAATTTACATGAAAATGCTTAAATATTAGAGTACCTTTACAAGAGACTGGAGTGTACACTAGGAACTAACCTGTGTGACAGATCTCCAGGCTCTCACCCAACCTGATAAAATCGTGTTTGAAAAAGCAGTTGCAATGCAAATAAATTACAAACATCAAGTTTTACAATTATTGTAAGCTTTACAGAAAATGATAATATAATAATAATAATAAAATGATGATAATTTAGTGACGTAAGTACAACCAGTAAAATGAAAGAATAAGCAAATATGACACATAAAAAAAAAATCCCAACGAATTTTGTTCGAAACGTCACTTTTGGGCAGACGGTATGTTTTCTTCTTTTGTTATTAAAAGAAGGATCAAAAAATAGTTTAGAATGCTTAAATAAAATGACATACAATATAAATAATTGCCGGACTGTTAAAACTTTACAGTCACTTTACGGTCACATCGTCGCTTAACATCAGGTGAGATTGTGGCCAAGCGTGTGTCTATTATATATATAAAAAAAAAGCGTAATTGTTGGATACAAGTGTGGGAGAAAGTGACTAACTTTCAGTATCGACCTTTGAGCTCTTCCAACAGGCAGTAAGGTCGATGTGGGCGCTCCACCCCATATTTCAACACAATATGTCAATATCGATTGACAGAGTGCGAGATATATCATCTTGACAGTATTAGGATCACTCACATGTCTCAAATTTTTGAAGATATACGTTAGTTTACGGACTTTGTTAGTTAGACCATCAATGTGCTGGGGAAAACTGAGAGTATCATCAATGATTACACCCAGATACTTATTTGAGGATGTTCTTGTGAGAGCAGGACAAGGAACAGATGATGGCTGACAAGAATGGGAAATGATGTTGGCATTCTCATGTTCTGATATACAATATTTTTTGTCCTGAATGTTAAAAATGTTGTCTTGTTATATTCAATTTAAGTTTATTTTTCTTTAACCAGTTTGACACTTTATCAAAGCCCTTTTGAGCCTCTCTATACACATCCTGCCAAGAGTCTCCTTCGAAAAGGAGAGCGGTGTCGTCTGCAAAGGATATGATCCTGCCCTCCCCTAATTCGAGATCACAGAGATCATTTATGTAGGTTAAGAAGAGGGTAGGTCCCATTACACTCCCTTGTGGTACTCCATGATAAATAGGAAGATCATTGCTGACGCACTGCTCAATCCTGACTCTCTGATATCTATTGCTCAAGTAACTCCGAAACAGTTGCAGTTGCAATCCCCTAACTCCCAATAGTTCTAATTTTTGTAGTAAGAGTGGAACAGAGACTGTGTCAAATGCCTTAGCTAGGTCTAAGAAGACCGCAATCGCTTTTTTCTTAGCATCCAAATTAGTCACTATGTAGTTTGTTAGTTCGTGAATAGCTAGATTAGTTGAATGTCCTGATCTAAACCCATGTTGGGACTGAGATAACAAGTTGTTGTTCTCCAAATAGTTCATAAATTGTCTGTTAATAACTTTTTCAAGAATTTTTGAGATTATAGGCAAGATAGAGATAGGTCTATAGTTATTTACACAGTCCCTGTTACCATTCTTGTGAATAGGGAGGACTTCAGCTAACTTCAAAACATCCGGGAAAGTACCCGTGGATATGGCAAGAATACAAATGTACGTGATAGGCTCTGTCAATATGTCCCTATGCCTTTTCAGGATTGAACCCGAGATGTTATCTCTACCTACTGAGCAATCAGATTTCAAGTTAAGTATAATCGATTCAATCTCAGAACAATCCGTATACAGCAAGACCAATGACTTTGGATGTGATTTAAGAGGGAGATCCATGTCTGGTGTTGGTTGATATGACAGTGTTTTGTCCGAATTATCTTTACCAACATTGGCAAAAAAGTATTTACTTTATTAATTGAAATTAAAGGATCAGATGAGAGTAGTTCGGTCGCACTAGATTTGTTTTTATCGATATTAGTTGCAGTGGTAATTGCACGCCATAACTTTTTATTACATTTGTTCGCAGCACTGGATATTTTGGTTTTATTATATTGAATTTTGAGTTTTTTAAGTAGTATATTACAGAAGTTTCTGTACCTTTTGTATGTTTCTACTAATATAGTATTGTTAGGATTTTTCTTAACTTTTTTATGCATATTATCGCGGTTTCTCATGCATCTAAGTATACCCGGCGTGATCCATGGTTTATACTTTTTTGTGATTAGAGATTTTGATATATAATGTATTAGCTAAAATTATATTGCTAAGTGTGTTTACTAAGTAAGATGTGGCCAAATTAGCATCAGTCATAGTGTAGATGGAATTAAGATTACAAGATTTAAGAGCGTTATCTAGTTTTTCATAGTCAATGCGAGATATTGTCTTACAGGATTGCTTGAATACCTGAGCATTTGTTCGAAGAGTCAGAAAGGTACAATAGTGGTCAGTTATAGTGTTCTCTGATACGTAGCAAAATGCCTGATGTTTAGTTTTAAGAATTATATGATCTAAGCATGTTTTATTATGCGTGGGAAAATTATAAACTGGCAACATACCATGCAAACACAAAGTATCCAAATATGCACTGGAATTTACGCTGGAATCAGTGATATCAATATTGATGTCGCCCATTAATATGATATTTTTTACGTTTGTATTCTTACACAAATATTGATCAAGAGATTTTATGAAGTTTGTAGGATCGAGTATTCATTCAATCGTGGTCTGTATATTGCTAAAATTAGAGTATCAATATTTATTCTTAGCGCAATGCAGTTGCAATCAGAAATATAGGTTTCTTCAGCTTGTATATTTAGCGTATTACCATACTGTTAACATAAATTACAACTCCTTCATTTTGAGTGTGATTTTATGTAGTCATGTAGTAATTATAGTTTTTAATATTTGGAATATTGTCAGTTTTAGGTAGCCAACACTCGGTTAGGATAATGATGTCCCAAGAAACTTTTGTTCTTTGTATTAATGTAAGAAAATTATCTAATTATTATGCTTCTAATATTTTGGTGTGTTACATTAACACATTTTAGACCTTTTTGTTTTTCTATGGGAAAATTATTTACATTTGGCAGAACGCATGTGTGTACGCGCGAGTGTGCTATTGAAAAATTTTCTATGTAGTCTAGGGTATCTATTGATTTATCGAATTTTAATATGATAATAAATTATTGACAAGACTTGTGGGAGTAGAATAGTTGATTGACAAATGATACAGACGGGACCTACGAGCGGGTGTATTATACATAATTTGTGAATGAAATATTGTTTAGCAAATCCAATGTCAAAAATGTTTTTAGTTTCCGTTTCTGATTCCGATTGATTCTGCTTCGGTGAGTTCTTTGAGAACTAAATCAAAAACATCACTATATAAAAATGGCATAACATAACACAAACATACATAATATGAACCATGAGTAGCTGTCAGTTAGTTACCTCTAATTAAAGTCCTACCTATACAAAATACCCACTGAGAGGCCTTGGACACGCACAAATGGTATCAATCAACTAATTGAATTAAAAAGAGGAGATTAAAGTCAAAGTTATTCATTTTTGTAATTTTTTTTTTTCAATTACGGTTTTCAATGCGCACCGTTCGGTGTAATAAAACCTCACCTTCAAAATGAAATTAAATTAATCGGTAACTTTTTACGAGAGATGTAAAATGTCACAAATACATAATTTATTTCATATAGTTTGCATTATTGTGTGACTATCATGTAATAAAAGCACTTTTGACGAATGATCATGTGTGGTTTCACCTTTACTGTACCATGGGTACGATATGAAGATCGGAAACTCTACACTCGAAGTTGTTGACGATTATGTATAGCTAGGACAAATTATCCAGTTAGGTAGGTCCAAGTTCGAGAAAGAGGTCAATCGTCGAATCCGACTCGGATGGGCAGCGTTCAGGGAATTACGCCATATCTTCTTGTCCAAAATACCACAGTGTCTCAAGACAAAAGTCTTCGCTTAGTATTTGTTACCAGTGATGACTTACGGCACTCAGACGTGGTCACTCACTATGGGCCTCATAAGAACGCTCAAGGTCACTCAAAGGGCAATGGAAAGGCTGTGCTTGAAGTTTTCTTACGAGGTCGAATCAGTAATGAGGATATCCACAAGGGAACCAGAGTAACCGATAAAGCCCTAAGAATTGCAAAACTTAAGTGGTAATGGGCAGGGCACATTGCTCGCAGAACTGATGGCCGATGGGGCCGAAGAGTTCTCGAATGGCGACTGCATACCGGAAGACGCGGCGTGGGCAGACTACCCACAAGGTGGACTGGTGATCGAGTGAAGGTTGCCAGAATCTGCTGGATGCAAGCGGCACAGGACAGGTCGTTTTGGCATTCTTTGAGGGAGGCCCATGTTCAGCAGTGGACGTTTTGTGGCTGAAATGATGATGGGCACGACATATTGAAAATTTTATTTGCTTTTCTATAATGCGTTTTGTTTTTGCAGCCAAAATTAGTTCGAACGAGATTATGAATAATAAAAAAAAATCTGTTTACGCTAACACAATAAGTGCGTACATAATAAGTCACGTATTTCCCGTCTAGTAAATAATTTTTTTCTGTTCTCGATACCTGTTCTCACAACAAATTCCACTAAAACCTTGCTATAATTATAGATGAGCTCAGTAATACAAGATGTCTAAGATACTTGGCTTCGAGGAGTCATCGCTAACTACCTACCGTATTATATTTTCCGCTTGTAAGAAATAACAAATTAACTGGAGATGTTAATCGCACAACTATATAACAATTAGTTCCATCTACGAATGATTGAGAGAATTTTAATGCATGATCTTAGTACACGTCACATTCTTATTTAATTAATATTACTGTGCGAAAATTATAAGGGTAGACGAAAGTCTGGAAAATAGAAATAAAAGAAAAACTAATTAAAAAAGTCATTTACTAAGTAATTTATTTTACATGATACTGGCTAGAATTATTAATGCTTCACTGCTGGTATTACATGGATAAATCTTCTTTCTCTATCTATTCATTACTAGGTACAGTTAATTCAATTATTATAATCATATTACAAGAATATGATACTGCTAAATTAACATATTTCAGGTAAATAGCAAACAACAATAGATGATAATGTTATATAATTAAAAATAGAACAATTAATTAAGTTAAAAATTATTTTCCATGTAACACTCATAAAATTTTCTTAAAGCTATTTTGGTAGAACGACATCTTCAAAATTGACTCACAGTACTTATTGTCCTTCACTTTTAGCAATTTGATTACTACACAATCGAAAGTTAGCGTTTTCTGTACCTGAAACCAAATATTAAAATCAGTAAATAACATTAATAATAAAAAATGTTAGCTTTAAATAAAGACATTATTGAAATAAGTTATTACGCAAAATATTTTTTTTTTATATGGCACTAGTGGCGGGACGAACAATTCGCCTGGTGGTAAGCGACATGCCTATCCATAACAGTTGCAATGCGATTCACAGCTTTACGTCGCAAAGACCTTATGGGCACTGCCACTGCGCCTGTCACCCTGAGACATAAGTTGACAAGTCCCATGTGCCTGTTATTTCACCAGTACCCCACACCCTTCTAAACCGGAACGCGGTAATGCTCACATTACTAATTGGCGGCAGAAATAGGTAAGGTCCAGCACTTCCCTGGACAAACTCTTTCACAAGGAGCTCTACTAGTAAGTATTAGGGGTTAACGTATGAAATTGCCGTTTTATTGCAATAGGTTCTTTGAATTTTCATAGAATCTTCATGGTTTGAGGTTTTCGAATGAAACTTTTTTCAAATGGTTTCTGTGATTTTTTTTTTTAAATTTGAAACATTTGAATATCGACTTTCAATTGTTTTTGTTATTCAATTTAGACAAGAAAGATGGATACTGCGAAAATTCGAGTGATTTTTGAATACGAGTTCCGACGCGGAACTGACGCGGCAGAAACAGCCCGCAATATCAATGCTGCGTTTGGAGAGGGGTCTACTAATGAACGCACCGTGCGATTTTGGTTTAAACGCTTTCGTGATGGAAATTTCGACTTAAAGAACGAGCCACGAGGAAGACCGCCCACACAGGTGAATAACGATGAATTAAGAGAGATAGTGGAAGCCGATCCTAGTCAAACTACCCAGGAATTAGCGGCATGGTTTAACGTTACCTTACCCACAATATTGACTCACTTGCGTCAAATCAATAAAATAAAAAAATACGAAAAATGGGTGCCTCATGATTTGACTGATCTGCAGAAAGAAACGCGTGTTGAAACTTGTGTTGCCTTGTTGAACCGGTACAGAAATGAAGGAATATTCGATCGAATTGTAACATGTGATGAAAAGTGGATTCTTTATGATAACCGGAAAAGAAAAATGCAATGGCTGACCCCAGGTCAAATGCCACAACAGTGTCCTAAAGCAAAACTTACCAATAAAAAGGTAATGGTAACTGTTTGGTGGTCTCAGCATGGTGTTATTCACTATAGTTTTCTCCGATCTGGTCAAGCAATAACGGCAGATGTCTATTGTGCCGAACTCCGAACCATGTTGACAAAACTAGCAGTAAAACAGCCCCGACTCATGAATCGATCTTCACCATTATTGCTCCACGACAACGCGAGACCTCACACAGCACGAGAAACCATTTTGACCCTTCAGGAACTGCAGTTAGAAACCATTCGTCGTCCTCCGTATTTACAGACCTTGCTCCAACGGACTACCATTTTTTTCGTGATTTGGACAATTATCTACGTGACAAGAAGTTTTCTTCCCAGGAGGCAGTACAAAATGCTTTCACACAGTTGGTGCAGTCTAGATCGTCGGAGTTCTATCGCAAAGGCATTAATAACCTTCCCATTAGATGGCAGCAATGTATAGATAATAATGGCAACTATTTTGATTAAATAAATTTGTTAAAAATTTAAAAAATAAACAATTTAGATTTTCAGTACAAATCGGCAATTTCATACTTTAACCCCTATTATTAATATTAATTCAAACAATGATGTTCACAAACATGTCTATTTATTATATTAAATTTTCAACTTGACTTCTTATTGCAAAAGAAGTATTTACCATTACCACAGTTATATATATATATATATATATGTATATACACACACACACACACTACACACACATATATATTTAACCAACTTCAAAAATAGGCGGAGATTGAATTGGACTGTATTTTTCTTTTTTGTGTATGTCATGCCAAGCTCTAATGTGAGCCTTACTACGTTCCGGTTTAAGGGTAAGGGTGAAATTACAGGCACATGGGACTTGTCAACTTATGTCTCAGCCCGATGGGTGCAGTGGCAGTGCCCCTCGGATCTTTTTGATTTAAAACTCTGAGTGGCACTGCAACTGTTATGGGCAGGCGTGTCTGTGACTTGTTCATTCCGTCACTTGATATTGTAAAAAACGAAAAATGTGAGAATAACTGTTCAAATAATTTAATTCCGTTTCTCTGTTGTACTAGTCCGTTTGTATTTATTTATTGGTTATCCTAAATAATAATTATAAAGAGCTTTATTTATCTACTTTCAAATGACAATTTAGTTTTAAGTAACATCGTCTGAAGTTGTATGTAATGTAGACAAAAACATAAGTCTCAGCTTGAGCTGTTTTTCAGACTACCTTTTAGTGAAACTCGATACATTTTATGATAGTAGTTGTGTGACGCGTCTCGATTAGCTCCGATAAAATTATCACTAAACAGTAAATACGTATGTATATATACAACTTAAACTTAAAGCTATGATCACATTGTCATGATGGTACCCAAGTCACTAAAATATTTCATTTCAAAGTATACTTCAATTAGAAGTTTAGATAGGGATGAAAACAGCCTACATAAAAATAAAAAATAGAAAATGTATATATATTAAGAACCATGTTATAAATTCGTGAAATTTGAAATACAGAATTTAAAGCAGTACAAAATTTAGGGGTACAAAATTTCACCCGGCATCCCCTTTTTTTTAATATCAAGTGACGGGAGGAACAAGTCATGCATGAGCTTGGTGGTAAGCTACACGCCTTTCCTTTTCACCAACAGTTGCAGTGCCACTAGAGTTGCCCCTCTCTATTATTATCCTAGTTGTCGATTAATTAAATTAATTTCAATGCCGAATTGGCAATACTCGATTGTATCATTAGTGGAGTACCGTCCTTACAGTGTGATTTTCACTTTGTTTGCCTTGAAATATAATTACTTTCTTTTATATCTGGTTAAAATTGTTTTCATTATTGTAAAGTATGACAACGCAGACTGAGGGTACTCAAACGTAGGTAGATAGATAGACACTTTACTGCCCAGAAAAACAAAACGGTACAAAGACAACTTAGAACTTATGAGAGCAAAGGCGGCTTTATCACTGAGAGCGATGTTTCTCAGGGAACCTTTGAGGCAGAGGAAAACGAAACAGAGAGTGAGACGTTACCAATGGCAAAAAATTTTATGCATTATTAGAAACTTATATTAAAAACGTATACCTACATATTAGTATAGAACGTATTTAATATTCTGACCACACATCCATAATATTAACCGTATTAACTTGCTATTTGGCCATTTTCCATGTTCAGTGGTAATTCGAATGCATTGTGCATACAAGGAAGTATAATTCTCCCACAATAAAGGAAAATTATTGCAATGTTATTTTCGTATCAGATTTGCGCATCTTGGCATATTGAAATCTTGGCATATACCTATCGATACCTCCCACGTAAGTTGTTATAAGTCACAAACTGGCATTTTTCAAGTTAAATACTTTTTAAGTATATTATAGGTTCCATATTTAAAAGTAAGGTAATCGCTTAGTGTTTTGTTAACTTTCCAACACGGCACCCATAATATATACATAAAAAAGGTATATTTAAGTTAAAAAGCAAAAAAAAATATTTGTGGCTTACTGTAACTTACGTGTGAGGTTTTTTATGATACCAAGTGAAGGGACGGTATCCATATGTATAATAAAGGCAAATAACTAAGGCTGCTAACAGATTAACTGCATGTTTGCAGACAAATCCTGAAGTTGTAATCTACTGCGATCTCGGCTGCATGAAGTCGGTTTCGACTGCATGCAGTTAATGCGTGGGTCGTTATTCGAGACCTCGACTGCTTAGCAGCCTAGAACCCTAGATCTGACTAATCCCCTAATTTTAATGTACCGACTGCGGAAAAATATTTCGTTCTTGAAATTTTTAGACTAAAATCTAGACATTTAATTGGGTGATTTAGTTGGGTTTTTATGTGTAATTTTTTTTTATAATATCAAGTGACGGTACGAATAAGTCGTGTGACTGATGGTAAGCTTTGCGGCTGTCCATAACAGTTGCAGTGCCACTCAGAGCTTTAAATCCCAAAGACGTGACCGCTGTCACCGCGTCTGTCACCGTGAGACGTAACTTGATAAGTCTCATTTGACAGTAATTTCACTAGCACCCTTAGCCTTCAAAACCGGAATGCAGTAATGCTCACATTACTGCTTGGCGGCAGAAATAGGGTAATGTGGCAGTACTTCCCTAGACGAACTCTTTCACAGGGAGCTCTACTGCTACTAACATAGGTATTATTACACGAGTGATGAGAATTATTTCAACATTACCTTTGAACTATCATCTTCAGTATAAATTACTGTTTCATTTAAAACTTATTCGCCCGTGAAGCCATACGTCTAACAGAGGATTTAGGATCTAGGTCTCGTATCAATCGTCGAAGTGTATATTTAATGAAGGTGTGTGCAATGACTCTTCAGAATTAACTCCTATTATTCTATCATCAACTTACGTATAGGAGTTGGAATATGAGTTGGAATACGCAGAAGCATGAGCAGTAGCATGTGCAGTGGCGGTTGCGCCACCGCCGCCACCGCCGCCGCCGCCGCATCCGCCTCCACACTCTCCGCCTTGACTGGGGTAGCCACCACCGCCATGACTAGGATATCCACCGCCGCCGTAACCGCCGCCGCCGCCACCGCCGCCGCCACCTCCTTCAATTCAAAAAATTATTATTGAATCATTGTAATATTTGACGAATTCAGTAAAAATCAAAGAGTCAAAGAGTTGTGCCCAGGAAAGTTATTTTCGAAGTTGTAGTAGAATCTTTTATTTAATAACACACTTAAAGTTCCATACTTCAACTAAATAGTGTTAGGATTTATTTTTGTTTTCTTTTTCCAATGAATATTAATTCTGTAACACTTTGACTACTTCGTACCTCCATAACCACCGCCGCCTCCAAATCCGCCGCCACCACCGAATCCACCGCCGCCTCCGTAGCCGCCACCGCCGCCGCTGGGATATCCGCCGCCTCCGTGGTGACCTCCGCCGTAACCTGTTATTATAATACAAACAAAATAAAGTTGCGTTCTATCAAAATGCGACTTTAATATGAAATTTAATTATTGGTTTTATATTTTGCAACGTCTCTTAATAGACGAAAAGGTCAAATCCGTCTCTTAAAATGTTCCATAGATGTTCACACAATAATACGAATCTTAGTTTTAAGTTAATTTAATGTAACTCGTTCGTACCTTGGTTCACGACTTTCACAACAATTGTTTTGGCTGGTTGTTGGTATCCACCATCATATCCGCCACCGTATCCGCCGCCATATCCGCCGCCATATCCGCCGCCATATCCGCCACCGTGCCCACCGCCCACAAAGTAGCCGAAATGCTTCTTGTGTAAATGACGGCGCTGACGGTTTGAGCGACCTGGTACCTCTTGGTCTTCTAGTTTCTGAAGAAAAATTTAATTATTTATTCTAATTATGATATATTATCGCGTAAGTTATAAAAATTCCTTCGAATTCAGAATAGAAGTCCCCAAATATTTTTACATATAGATTACATCATCTTCACACTGTTTATCATCAAGTAAATTAAACCAGTTTGATGTAAGGTAAAGTTGCATTTAAGCCAAATAAAAACCATTTTATAATCACCTTAACGTAAATTGGCCGGGGGTTCCTATCCAATGATTTTGCTTCATGTTCACGCACATTATCCGGAGAACTTTGACGAGATAGTAGCACTAAAACTGGGAATTGTCTGGCGCGAAGCGCTCCATTATTAGCCCCCGAGTCTCTGGGTGGTGCGAGCACTGGGGAAACTAGGACAACTCGTTCTCCACCGTCCAGGGTATTGTCCCCCACAGATGCAAGCGCTACGGCCGCGAAGGCCAAGATGCTAACCACCGCGCACCAGTATCCCATCGTGATGACTGGCGCAGGACTCAAAACGCCAACCTATTTATACATGTTTTTCCTGCAACGAGCGACGAGCGTCACACCTGACTTGGATGTACGCAGGATACTAAGAACTTGCTTCCCATGACCACGTTGCCATCCTAATAATTAATCAAAATACTGTAAATCAATCTTATTTTTTTATATCAATACGTCAACACATTAAAGTTTTCCTTTGTTATGAAAATTAGAATTATACGTTATGAATACACGCGAAATAAGGTTTGTCGAAGTATCTATCCAATTATACGCTCGTTAATTTAATTCCGTGCACGTACACATGGTTATTCCCTTAAACCGGATGCTCGCAAGCGTTTGGCCACATTATCTCTGGAGGCTACTTGTACTCTTGTGAGAATTGGCCGACTTTTATTTGCAAAACATGGACTTGATGAATTTTATTCTTGTTCTTATTTTAGAATGGGTCGTTGCCGGGGGCTGCAGACTGGTTTTCATGTTCGTTTATATCGTAACAAAAAGACCGCTTATGCTAATGGCCGTACTATAATGAACTCTAGAGTTTATTATCATCGGTACTAGCATTGAAACGAATTATGCCTGCAATGTTTTTCCATCAGAATTTCGCCGAGTTATAGAATAATGAGGAGTTGTCTATCATTTCGATTTATAGATATTATTATCACATCACCGTTAGTAGAAAAACATTATCGAGTCATCCCACATGATCTAGTTAATTACGCGGTTATGTTTTTCTTGTAATCGTGTTAGTAGGCGACCGGGCCGCGGTTACTTACTAGGTACCTTTATATACATACTTACTATACATAATTGCTGAGAAGTTCCATCTCCGGAAATTGTGATTAACTTTTTGTTACTCAGTATTGTAGCGTAACCATAACGTTATTGTTTATTTGGGCTGAAGTATCCTAGTTATTAGTTATTGAGATAAGTATTTATGACGGTCAGCTGTACGGGATTTCACCGGTTCCTTTTAAAAGAAGGCAGCAAGACTCACAACATGTTCACTATGCTATCTTGTGCATTGTTTAACATTATAAAACCAGTTACGCAATAAATTTTTATTAACGTTTGAACGATTGTTACATTGTATGCCTTAAGCCGCATATATGTTTATAGTATACGGAATATGTAATACCGTAGCCCAACGAGAGCCTAAATTACTGAAATTTGTATACAGTCCATCCCTTTGAAGCTACGAATTAGATACACTTTCTTCTTTCTGAGCCTTAATTGCGAAAAGCCGTACCTAATTCATACCCTAGTTATGGATGTTAGTTTCTTAGAAAAGCTTACCTAACTCAGCTCTCTTTGGGGAACGTACTGTATACGGAAAGCCATATACGCAGCCAGGCAACGCATTTACTATATATGTACATTATGTCGTTTAACTGCCGCCGTGGCCGAAGGGTTACCATGCTGGTCTGCCACACAGAGTTGCTGAGTTCGATTCCCGGCCCGGGAGAAATATTCGTATGGCCTACATTCATATCTCTCGTGAGTTTGGGTGTAATTTATGGTGTCTATGTTTGTATCCATGGCACCCGACAAACAGGGTTTCCCTAAAGCTGGGCTATGAGTGTGTGCATTAAAAAAATGTGTTAGAGATACTTTGTAATGCCTCTGGCGATTGCAACCAATTTCTGTTGGTATTTCTTTCCTATATCACAAAAACAAATTGGTGACAGATCTGTAGCTACTAGGAGTACGAAGTGAATTCACAATAATAAAAAAGCCTTTTGTTACTATAATAAGCTGAAAGTTGATTCCCTATTAAAGAGCAGCCATCTTCTTAATTTTTCTTTTTGCACAATTGTACACTTTTGCGCTTGCAAAATTTTACAAGTAATTTTTTTTATAATATGTAGTGACAGGACGGCCAAGTCGTGCACCTAAATTTTTCATTTTTTCCCATAAACTTAGCATAGTGACCTTTGACCTCATTTATCTCAGTTCACAACTTGAAAGCCAAAATTTCGCGCCCTTGGTGTACTAATCACATCTGCAAAATGGCAATTTTTCAGCAGAGAGCTTTAAAGATTCTACGAACGAAAATAGTCGATAACTTTTTATGCTAAATAGGAGAATTATAAAATTTCACGTAATATACAAAATTTATTTCATCCAGTTCGTATTTTATGACTTCACATTTCTTGCGATAAATGCACTGTTGAAGCATTATCACGTGCGGTGGTGTTTTTTTTTACCAACGGTACGATTTGGGCTTCATCACGACCTATGGAATTATTCTTCTGGTTTCAAATTTCACATTCACTGGTCGAGGAAAAGAGGTGCTAAAGTGGATGCCAAGAAAGCTGAGCGCGCTACTCTCGTTGAGCGTCGATAATCATTTGAGAGTGAAGGTAGAGCCCCAATTTCATGAAGTATTGTGTCCCATATAGATCTGCTGTCTCAGCTACTCACTGCTAGCTAGTGCCTAAGCAATATATTAATTCGTCTCGTATCACAGTGATACGCGGTGTCTGCAGCAGTTTTGGTAGATTTTTTAATTTTTATATTTTTTTTAATGATGGACGATAACACAAAGGCTTGGAAACTGTTGAGGGTATAGAAGCATGTTGTTCGCGAAGTTTTTCATGTACCATACTACTACTTTTAAGCCTCATACAATTATATGCTTCAGGCCCAAGTATGTCCTCAATTTGTATGAAAATCGAATTATTTTCATTGATACCCTATGGTTATGTAAAATATAATAGCACCAAATTTGAATGCGGTATTTTCATTATTATCTAAATTTAAATGATCATAGGAATAATATTGCCTGTGTCTGAATCACTTCACATATTATGTACATCAAATGTACATAGGGCCTTAGAATGTTATATATAAACTTCCTTCTAAAATGAAGCAGTTTTCAAAAAATATATCCTGGTTATGGAGCGTAATCTATGTAAATATAATTATGTTTTAGATGTACATCAAAGATCAATTAAAAAACCAAACTTAAAATTGATAACATTTTATTTTTTCTGAGATATATCACATTTTTCTATTTAGTACAAGTACCTTCTATTGTAACCGGTATAACCAGCTCCAACACCGTAAGTATACGCGTCTGAAAAGAAAAAATATTTTTAATTAACTAACTAATAACTATTTATTACGACAAAACATTATTGAAACGGTAAAATATTACGTAGTAATACAAATGACGTAAGGTAAAATTTTTAACAAAAAAATTTGACACCATCTTTAGTAGTGTTCCACAGTATTTATAAATAAAATAAATAAATGTTAGACAACATGACATACGTTGCTCCGATCCCAAAGTAAATAATCAAAGCACTTCTGTTATAGAAATCGGAAACAACGACCGCAAACACCCAGACCCAAGACAATATAGTAAAGTTAGTTTTCTGCATTGACTTGGCCGGGCATCGAATCCGAGACCTCAGAGATGGCGACACTATGAATACCGGTGTGCAAGCGACTCGACCACGGAGATCGTCAGGAAACCTCTCGATGGTTAATCTTTATTTTTAGTAGCAGTAGAGCTCCTAGTCAAGGAGTTCGTCCAGGGAAGTGCTGCCACCTTACCTATTTCTGCCTCCAAGCAGTAATGTCCGCATTACTATGTTTCGGTTTTGAAGGGTAAGGGTGCTGGTGAAATTACAGGCACATGGGATTTGTCAACTTATGTCTCCGGGTGACGGGCGCAGTGGCAGTGCCCCTCAGATCTTTGCGATTTAAAGCTGGGAGTAGCACTATAACTGATATGGAGAGGCGTGTCGTTTACCATCACACGACCTGTTTGTCCTGTCACTTGATGTTATAAAAGAAAATATAGAAAAGTTAGTTTTCTACCGAGATCGTCAGATTGTAAAGCTCTCGATGGCTGTCTCGAGACAGAGAGCGAGTGTGGGGGTCTACTCTCGATGTCCGTCCGACATCCGTCCGAAACAATTACTGTCAAATAAGTAATATTCGACAAAATTAAAAGACAAGTATCAAGTATGAAGCTTCATTCGCATGACGCGTCTTTTCATTTGGTCAAGTATTGCTTATTTGGCAGTAATTGTTTCGGACGGATGTCGGACGGAGATCGAGAGTAGACCCCGAGAATCGGGCTCGTGTCGGGCGCCCGCACTCGGTGTGTTGTCGTCCATATAAATACATGGAACTAGACCCGCCGTGGTCCGTACCCGACCCGCAACCGCTCTCTGATCAACACGTAAAAACGTATTTATTTTTAACTATCAAGTTTATCATCAAATTTATAAAATAAACATTACGTATTAAAACCAGTATGCTAATTAACGTAAACACCTGACGAGTTCGAAAATTAAATTTAATGAATGCAGTTACATTGATATTAAACATATTATTTTAATGTGTAAAAAGTCAGTGTATAATTTTATTTCTATTCCTAATCACGAAATATAAAAATAAAAACATTTAATGGTGCAGTCGCTTGCATTGAGAAATATTCGATTTGTCTAGGAAATATTTTTACACAAATTATAATCGATTTTGGTAAACATTTAAAGGTACTATAATAATACCTTACATTAATACCCATATATTATAATCATTGAACAAACTTTTAGAGATATCTTGTAATTGTGATATCGCTACGTGTAGACTTATTAAAGGCGACTGTTGTACCTTTTTTTTTGTTGTACCTACCTTTTAAAGCAAATGCATACAGTCGGTAGCCAAAGATACCTGACCCCTGACCGTGACCATCGACCATTTGGCACTGAGTAAAGAAAAGAAAAAGTGCTAAACAAATTTAGCCCCTAACCTGTTAACCATAAAATTAATTTTAGTATAACTTCCTTATTGCGTTATTAGTGAATGAAGTTTTTAGAAACCTTTCAAGCCAATTTCATATTTAACGTATACTAATTTATACAAATTTCAACCATAAATTTGGAATTCCTTGACATTTTTCTGTTGAATGCGTAGGAAGGTTCTCAGAAGTTAAGGCATCGACTTTTCCTTACCCGAACCATAAGATCTCTTAGGAGATAATCGTTCACTGAATGTGACGCTATTGTTTGGAAAGCATAATAATATTTTCTGATATGTGCTCATAATTGAAGTGTTAGTAACAAATAATAATTACGCAGAAAAACATAATGTGGTAATTGAAAACTCTTAAAAA